AAAAAAAAAAAAAAAAAAAAAAAAAACAAGAAAAAATACGAAAAAAGGAGAAGAAGAGGGGGGTCAATTTGTTGCAAATGTCGCGCCGCTGCGCGCGACCGCGGAAAAGTGTGCATTTCCATTGGATGAGCGCGCACGGAGCCTCGAAAAATTATAATTTCCTAATATAATGAGGCAATTGTCTCGAGGAAAAACAATCCCGGTGTCTCAGAATACCTCCGTGAGACATTGAGAAGCGTGCAATAAAATGCCTTAATAAATGTGACTTATTAGTCTTCTGATTGCCTCGTAAACACATTTAGCTGCATTAATAGTCGCGAAACTTGTCTCACGCGAGATATCCAGATTGTAATTTAAAGCTGGATTTGAGTTTTTTAGTTAAATTATATGATATGCATAACATACTTGCAATCGTGCAATTCAGCTGAAAAGCTCACATCTAATTTAATTTAATTCTAAGGCCCGTATTAATAGTTGTTATTTGAAACTTATTTCAGGTGAGATACTTAGATTTTTCTTTAGAATTAGACCCAAGACTTCAGTTGAATTACGATAAACGTGACATTTATATTTGTAATTGTGATTTAATAGAATCTCTCATTTAATTTTAAATTGTAATCTGAGTATTTCACTTGAGACAAATTAATGACTTTTAATATGGATCTAAATTTAAAACTAAGTATCTTACCTAAGGCAAATTTCAAGCAACGACTATTAATACAGACCTTATATACAGAGACACTTTTATCGATAAAACACTAAAAGAACAAATGCCAATATCCCAGTAAAAGACACTAATCAAGTTAGCTTAAGTTGATTTTGAGTTACTCTAGTCAGCGCAAAATAACTATGTTTTGAAATATATTGAGAAACAAAAATAGTTCATCTAACTGAATTTATCTAAAAGAGAGTGATATAGAAGGCCCTGAGATTAAAAATCAAATAGGTCGCCTATTTGTTGATTTCTTATCTAAGTTAATTATCTATGCTGAAATTATGATTATCTTTTGCCCCGACTATATTTTTGTAATAAAATGGTAAAGTAGTAAAAATATGCACATAAAGTCATCACATCACTGATATTACAGCAGAATTTAATGAATTTCATGAAGTTATTAATTAAGTTCTTTTGATTATAATATATAATGATTGCTTCTCTGTGTGATCGTTGTTACAAATATATCAAGCATTGTTTTCTTAGTTTACAATATTACCGAATGTGTAAAATCGGTGGAAGTGTAAAGTCCCAATGGAAGCCACTCTTCGAACTTCCGCGTTTCCCTTTTTCGGTACTTTACATTTCCACTATTTCCATTATTTATAAATTCCTCTGACATCATCTCTCGTACGATTTACAAGGATTTACGTATAGAAGTGGCTCTCAGCGATTTTAATGGACTGTCGATATGTTGTACAGCAACTGCATATTGTTTCATGCTGAAACATGTATTTTGCCCGCGGTGCTACCACCACGTCCGCCAAACCAAAAGCAATTTCGGAAATGAATATCGTTGTGAATGATTCCGCGCTGTGAAATTTTCCTTAGCTGCGGTTCTCACGAAAATCCACAAATTCGCTATAATAATTGCGGGGAGTGGAACGGATATTTGAAAAAAGTATATTTCTTTTAATTCGACTACAGACCGTTATGCGAGGAGCATGAAATACCATAAAGCTCTTGCCTGAAACGTTTCCCCACGCAGCCTACGCTCCGTTTCGAGGATATTCGTAACGACGTCGAATTTCACCCAATCTCCTACGGGGAGGTTCTTTCTCAACCCCTAAACGAGAAAGCACGTGTAGAGAAATGTACGTGTCTCATATTTTTAATCACTCCATAACGTATCCAGAGTCCATCAAAATCAACGCGAAACACTGCCGCACACATTTCCTCGCTCGACTGACCGGTTGAGCTATGAATGTTGAACAATAACGAAAGTAATGGGAAACTCGAAAACGTGTCTCTCGAAAACGGCACACACGGCGGGCATAAATGTTTTAAGATCCCGCCAACGAGAGCCTCCTCCATGCGAATATACTTCACCGCCTGCGAATTGTGCGAGCCGTTTAAGCGAGTCTCTTGTATTGTGTTACGACAGGTATTTCCATGCACAAGGGCTATGCGTTCGTGCAGTTCACCAATCCCTTCGACGCGCGCAGCGCGTGCCTCGGCGAAGACGGCCGCACCGTACTCAGCCAGATTCTCGGTGAGTGACCTTTCATTGTTTCGTTATATCGCGGCGAGTTCATTGAGGGGGTCGCGCGCGAGAGAGGTAAGATTAAGCGTGTCGTAATCCCGGCAAAACTGCGCGACGCTCCGCTTAAAATTCCGTGTTGCCTACAGCGCCGTGAAAGGCTGCGAAAGGCTGTAGGTGCTGTGCGTTAAAACATTTGTGTGTGGAATAAATTTAAGAACAGTACAGAGAGAAGGAGAGAGAGAGAGAGAGAGAGAGAAAGTCCACAAAACGTACCTTTTCGCGCGCGCTTTTTTTTCGAGGGAAATAAAGTCTCCTCGCCGCATTCGCGAGTGCGCTCTCCACGATTTTACACAATTCTAATAATTAAGAAATTGTTGCGTCATACACTTAATCTTTCCCTTTTTCTTTCCCTCTTTCTTTTCACGGGGAAAACGGAATTATTTATTCATGGGGAAATTTAAAACGACACGGTTACGGCGACGAGAACCTTTTTTATCGACACATCGATACACGCCGGCACTTTATAAAGCAATAATGAAACACAAGACGGGGAGGAAAAAGGGGTTCGCATTAATATGCAACGGGGCGGAACACGTCGGCAATATGAGGGATCACTTTGACGCGATCATTTATTCAACACTCGACGGAGAAAGTGTATATGTCTCTCTATCTCTCTCTTAGCGTTCCGTCTTAGCGGAACGACGCCTACCGCGTCCTCCTCTGTAAGACATATTTATGACTTGTGTGAAAAATATAAAAAGCGTCACGCAGACCCGTAATAAGTATCGAAAGAGGGGGATATCTCGGCGATTCCTCCGGCGAGGGACGTGAATTTTTCAGGTAATATTGTACCGCTCCTTCCAACGAAGACGTTCCCTTGTGCAATTTTTAAACTTTTAGCAGATTTAAAGTTATATGCGCGCTTTTAACACGTCTTATTAACCCTTTGAATTTCGAATCGATCCAAACTAATCGATCTTTTTCACCGCCAAACTGTCAAAGTTTCTGGCAATTCTGCCTTTCACGATTCTACGCGGAATTTTAATCTTATTACTTAGTTATAATAGTAAAAACTAATGAATTATCCACATTCATTGTCTCTCCACTTCAACTCTGGCTGTTCCATAAATAATTGCAACTTACTAATGTTGCATTTATTTATTATAAAAATGGACTATATAGAATAAAAATTCTCGTGCATTATTACGATGTACGAAAGATAGAAAATTATTATTATGCAGAATATAGTTTGCACTGAAAATAATACGGCATATCAAAAAGTTGTTTTTCTGAGACATTTTGTCATTTGACAAAATGATTCATTGAAAAATTATGAAAAAAAATCAGATGTCACCTTTATATTATTAGGAACAATAATAAATAGAGAAAAGCTATTCTTGCGAAAGAACTAATTCGGGATTGAAAGAGTTAACGTCTGCAACGACACTAAGGATTTATGACACCGATGTCAATCATCCGATGCGCATCGCGCCGAAGACACATGAATATTTAATCTCGACATTTCTTGGAAGTATCACTCACATCGAGTGAAAACTCACTCGAAGTGATAGCGAAGATATTGCCACTCGGAACCGCAGGTGCATGTTTAATTCCAATTCAGATCGGCAGAGAGTTTCACTTTGTATGATTCATTTTGTATGAGCGAGAAGTCACACACAAAGTGACCTGTCGCTTCCACCTTTCGAGTGAAATTTTACTCGAAGAAATTTAAAGAGCGCTTGAACGATTCCCGCAATTTGCGTGTTCCTGCATTTACGCGAAACAAACGATTTTTTATTCTCGCGAGAACAGAACCTCCCGACTCTTTGACGCAGTTTACAATTTGAAAAAAATCAGATTAAAAAGCAGCATGTCTCCGGGTTGTGCAAACTTTGTCGCACCAACTGCAAAAATCCGAGTAAAAATCGAGTCACATTCACGATATGACTTGGGAATTTTAACTGTAAATTCGATTAACGGTAAAAAGAATTAACGAAACTGAGGGATGTAGCAGCATTATATGACACGGAGAAAATATTACAGTAAAAATTGCAACTAATTTGTTTTGTCCTGGACCATGCAGAATTTGCGATATATTTGTTTAAAAATATTACGCGTATGTGACTTTTGCAACAAAATTATCATAATTACTTGAATGTTTTTACATCGTATATCCGGTGTAGATCGTCAAGTTTATTATTATTTCTAAGTAATTTGTATTACAACTTCGTAGTCCAGCATCTATAGCGCATCTTTACAAGGAAACATTAAAAGATAATATAATATTTTTACGTGATTTTTACTACGATATTTTCTCCGTCTAGATGTTCTCTCAAACACCAGAATCTCATCCGACTGCATAATGCGAGCAATTGCATTCTTGGTTGGAAAGCTAAGTAAATAAGACGACAAATACGATAATGTGTCGAGTCGGCTTTAAGATTACCTCGTTGAAGTGAAATTTGAGCTCGTTTCACACAAACAACAAATTAACAAAACACGAAAATCTCGCGGGAGGAGTTTGAAAAGAGCAGTTTAGACATGCACAATCCTGAACGAGCATTAATACATAGAAAGTTATCACGTTTATATAGTCGCAATAATTAGTTGTCTGAGAAGTTGTAATTTCGAAATTGTAAAATATACACGGAGAAAAATAATTTGCTGGCCCAAAACAAAATCTTTTCGTTATATTAAATTTTTAAAAAGATTTGCTAAGAATACTAATCACTATTTGCTGGGTATAATTTGCTGAATCTACAAATTATTTTGCTATAAGAATCACGGTGGATTTATACAAGCAGTTTTGCTCCGATAGCAAATAAATGTGCTGAAGATACATTATTTTGCATCAATAGCAAATTAACGTGATTCTTAGGACAAATACACTCAACAAATTTTTTCTATCCTGGCTAACGAAATTACTTTTGCTCTGAATAATTTGTAAAATTAGTTACGTCAACTAAATTTTTTTGATGTCACTACGGATATGCAGTAGCAGCGACGATTTTGCTAAAAGAGAAAAATCCTTTTTCACCGTGCAGGGCATCTAAGCCCCGGTCCCCCACGGATGCTTCGGATATTTGGAGGTACAAAACGGCGTCCGAGCGGCTCTCCGTAAAAGTGTTAGCACGCGCGATGACGAGCGCGAATGAGAATTGCTTTCGCGCTGTAACCACGTCGCGTCTGACGTCGTAATCCGGCGTAGCTGACGCGGCTAATGCCGGGGCCCTTAAGATATTAAATTAGAAACAGCGCATTCGCATTAGGACGCGGAGAACAGCGCGGCGGGAAGCCCGGGTCGAGTCAGCTGGCTTGCCGACCGTAGGAATATATCCCCCGGTTATGACACACGGCATAAACCGCGTCTTACAAAAGCAGAGCCGCTGTGAATGCCGCACGCGTGAAATAAATAAACGCTGACCAGAGGATTGGGACTCGGGATTTATCGGCCGGTGTGCAGCCGTATAACGCGCGCGCCATTCACTGCCGTCCGAGCGATACATCGCGACAGCGAATCGCAATATTAAAGTGCCTCGAGTGCCGTCGAGTGCGATGTCATTAGCGCGGAATCTTACCGTCGACGCGGCGGCAGCTTCGTTAATTTTAACGGCGCGAACGCCGGCGACTACTGTGATACTCCCGCACCACTTGTATGCCGCACTGTGTTGATGAATTTCTAGTCAACCGGACGAGTGGCCACACGCAAGTAGACTGATGGACGCCAAAGTATTCCTGCAGGTTCCGCGCGAGTTGCTGATGTAATAATGACGAGGAAAGAAGGAAATGAGGAGGAAAGGGTCTCTCTGGGTTTAAGCGAGCTCTGTCGATTTTAGATAAATTTGATCGGTCGAGTTTAGGGCAAGCTAACGTTTTAACCAAGAAATACGGTTGTTACGACTTTCCAACGAATTCTCACCGAAAATGTTATTTCATCCTTGATGAAATTCCGACTTCTATAGAAATTACTATATATAGCTTCAAGAAAGAGCCTTCTTCTAAAATCAAGAGGAAATTATTCTAAACACAATATTCTTAAAGTTATAGGAACTTCGTCTTTTATCTACAGTGCAAGTATTGTTAATAGAAATGTCTAATGAGAGGATATTTTATTTCAAAATATGCCTTTTGATTCAAAAGGAAAAAAAGTTAGAATAAAATCTAGTAGATTTCCGACTGAAAACCCATTTCATTTTAGAAGTGGAATAAAAATATTCCTTCAGAATACGGGGATATAGAATTACACAGAGGAAATGACATCTCACACCAGAAGTTCATGTTACTATTCGACACAAAAGATAATTGTTTTACTTCGATTTTCAGATCGATTTCTCAATAACAGCTTAAATTTAGACTCTGCTTATGCATGTCGAACATATTATTAGAACAAAGTAATCTAGCAGTTTAAACTGCTATTAAAAAATTGACCTTTAGAGACCTCATTTCATTTGACAAAAATCGATTTCTCAATAACAGCTTAAATTTAGACTCTGTTTATGTATATCAAACATATTATTAGAACAGAATGATCTAGCAGTTTGGACTGCTATTAAAAAATTGACCTTTAGAGACCTCATTTCATTTGACAAAAATCGGACATTTCATTTTTGGCATCAACAACATCTTCTCGTGTCATAGGTGTGCCCTCACACCGCTGTTCCGTGGTTTCCTCTATCGATCCATTTATGGTTACCCATCTGGTTATTAACCGTAGTCCATAATGCCTAATTTCTATGATCGAACAGGAATTGATGGTGTCAATGAACTCTGACGGTATCCTTTGTGGCTCATGCTTATAATGTATGTACGTAGCGTTCAGAAAACATTGTAACGCTATATTACTGGCTTAATGGATTTTTAATCAAACGGTTATTCCAAGTAATGAATTAGCTTGAAAAACATAATGTGAATGTGTGTATAAAACATTTTTCTTTTTCAATCAAATGGTCCAATTCAACGTTTCGTGTAAGATTATGTCGTTTTAGTATTACAAATTCGAGTGTGTCAAA